AGGGTTTGGGGAAGGTAGGGACAAAGTGGCTTTATCATGTAGGAAGGAGACAATTTCTTTACGGGAGAAGGAGAGCATTGGGCCAGTACTTCTTGCAAGAGGTTTCCCCTCACTAGACAGCATGAAAGCAGGAACTAATTTTCTTTTTTACTACCAGCAACTGCCACGGTGCCTGGCACAAAGTAGCCACGCGATGGTTTGTTAAAGGAAAAGGGGAGAAAAAAAATCAGCTGGTTCACCTGAAATGCTTAACCAACTGAGCCACCCAGGCGCCCTCACCTGAAATGCTAATAGCCACACCAAAGTGCTTAGAAGCTGCATTTTCTAGGAAGATGTAAGTAATAAAATAATCACTAAATAAAAGAAAGTAATACTAATCAATTTTATCTCAATTTGCACATAAAATAAAAATTTCATAATTAAAAAATGAATTTTAACTTTCATCTTTGTTGGTTTATTAGATTTTTTTTTTAGCAGTAAAATTTTTCTGTAAATCTGAGTGCGCAGAACACACAAAAATGAAGAGAGATGCTGGTTTAAACTTACATTGTGGAATTTCCAACTAAACCTAAGTTGCTCACATGGGAAAATGTAATTTCGGCCTGATGGACTTTATTCCTGTTTACTCCAAAGCATCCCACATATTTCAAAATATAAAGGTATAAGGAGTAGATGCAAATGCCTTTAAAACTCACTGTTATTTTGTAGAAAGAAGCTCAGTGTTACTTGAGAACTGAAAAGCAGCATAGCTCAGTGGTCCAAGCTTTTTCAAATCTAGAAGGATTCCAGAGGCTCACCTATAGATGGTTTGTACTGGGATTTCAACAGTTTTGTTCTTTCAGTGCTCTGGTAGGAAGAAGCAGCCACATTTCTTGATTTTCTACCAACGTAACAGAAAGTTCTAGCTTGAAAGAAGGAAAGAAGTTGGTATTCTTTCAGGAGAAGAGTTATATTCTCTCAGATTACCACATGTCCCTAAAAAGCTATTGTGGAAGGGAACAGAGATTACTGCTTAGAAGAAAATGTAGGTTTAAAGCCATTTTCAAAAAGAAATGCTTTTTTTTTTTTTTTACATGACTTGGATCCATATTCAATAAAGAGCTTTGTTAATCATTTTTCCTAATTACTTTGACTAACTCATATTTGATGAAAAAAAATATATTGTGAAAACTGCAGTGAAGTATAAGTTGCTCTCCCATGTAATTAGTTTGTTCTCGGAGCTCATTTTTATTATGAAAATAATTTGTGGTGGTGAGTTATAAGGGAGAGACTCAAGCTGGAAGACTTCAGGATAATATTTCCTCCATGAAACTTTCTCTACCATGACAATTCATTTTATTCCTTGAAAGTCAAACATATATTTTACATCTAATTCCTGATATACAGACTAAATAGGCCCAGGCCCTCGACTGTCTGACAACATTTCTGGGGCATTCTTTCATGGAGGGAATGAAAGACTTCAAGCATCTGTAGCCATGTATTTCCTTTCAGAGAATCTGCTTCTGGGGCCCTGTTTCTCCATTCTGCCTCTCTTCCTCCCCCTGCAAATTTGGTTGCATGGGAGATACAGGGGCTAGTGGAAGAGGGAAGGAGGGGAAAACCATGCCCAAATATGCCCGGAGTGACTGCCCTTTGGGGACATTCACTGGTGTGATTCATGGTTCCCTGAAGGCAAGAGGAAAAGTGAGGGGGTGCTTTCATTTTCTTTTCTAAAATCAATCTCTCTGCCAGTGCTCTGGATCCTATCCATACCAGTCCCCCAGGAACTTTCTCTCAACTATTTTCAATTTTATCCTCCTTTGCCTCCAAACATGATGAGTAAGTTCATTTGTATCAGGGAAAAAAAAAAAAAAAAGACTTAACCTTACCAAAGTCTTCAGACAAATGTTCTTTCCCTGGTGCTTTTCTTTCTTTGTGACCCACTTCCTGACTTTTATGTACTTTGCTCTCTAGCCCAATCCTGTAATACCTTTCTTTCTTTTTTTTTTTTTTTAAAGATTTTATTTATTTATTTGACAGAGAGAGACATAGCGAGAGAAGGAACACAAGCAGGGGGAGTGGGAGAGGGAGAAGCAGGCTTCCCGCTGAGCAGGGAGCCCGATGCGGGGCTTGATCCCAGGAACCTAAGATCATGACCTGAGCCGAAGGCAGACGCTTAACAACTGAGCCACCCAGGCACCCCATGTAATACCTTTATTTCTAAAATGTTAATTCAATAAAATCAAACTTGAAGTCTGTACAGCAGAGAGAGTTTCCCAAATATTTCATGGACCTCGGATTTTGGACAGCCTCCCCCTGCCGCTCAACCCCTCCCTCCCATATTCATTATAGAGGGAAAATGTATTAGAAAACCCTGGCTAATAAAAATTCCACGTGCCCTCTGTTGATTTATTAAGGCTACTATAGATTTCATAACACTGCTGTAAGCATGGTTAATATATTGTAATAATTTCTAGCATTTTTCAAGTACAACTCAGTAAAATATTCCTTTATACAGTTGGCATCAGGCAGTGAGGAATACAACTTGCATGTTGGAGGGGATGATGTCATTTTTTTCAGCTTTAGATCTCTCCCGTGCTTCACATGAAACCAGCAATAACTAGCAAAGGATTTACATGCTTATTTAATAGCAATTAAATTAGTAAGACCTCCTGACCTTTATATTCTTCCAATGGTATTTCTTTAACTCAGTGTCATCCACTATTTCATAGTTAGGAGAAATCTCATTTTATATTCTTGAATTCAATCAAAATATGCAGCCAGTTTGGATTTCTCAAATGAGAAAATCTGAGTGGTAGCCAGTGGACCAGAGGGAGAAATTCTGTTGCAAAAAGGGACAAGTTTCACAATTGCTTTTCTCATAAAGACAGTGCTGGTATAGGATGACCAAGGATTAACATGCCACTCAGAATCACAGGGTGTTTTCCAAAATTCTGCCACTAATAGGAATTTGCAGTAGTCAAACAACAAAATTTCACTCAAGCAGACTTAGTAGTTTTTATATTCCTCTTGTCTCAAAATCTTTAAATTTTGAAATATTGGAATTCAGCCAGTTTGAAGTTAATATTCACCTACGTAAAATCTCTCTTCTAAAATCTTACAAACTAGGCAGGAATATTCAAAATATTTCAGAGGCCTTTTAATCGTATTTGAAGATGAGATTTTTCAAGTAACACCAAGTACCTTCAATGCATTCATTTACTCTTTTAACAACCAAATGATTGCAACTGTTTTTATTCATTCATTACAAGAAAATCCATTAAAGGCTTCTATTTGGCCATATTTAATAATGTAGCTGAAGTTACCTTGTGTACAACTATATCTATTTGAAAATATGCTATAATACACTTTTTAATTACCTGCCCCAATTCGTCTGAATTTACCACATCTGACCCTAGAGAACTTTTCTACAAAGATATCTAAGCAATGGATGATGATGATGATGATGATGATGACTTCCCAACAATCCCCAGTGACTAGCAAATAATTCAGGATGTATGTTCTTGTTCTGTTGCAATATCTACTCTGTTTACACACAATTGGCTTTTTGGGAGGAGGAGCAGAGAAGACTAATACAAATGTTTGGAATTGGGCAGATCCTGAGGGAAGGTAGGGCTGCAAGCCTAAGAACCAGGGGTGACCTCGAAGCTGGTGTGGTGTCATGGGAGCCAGACTGGGGTGGTTAGTAGACTTAGTAGGATTCTTTATTAAGGTAGTTGACGTAGTGATTTTCAGTTCTCAGCATTTCATAATTTTTGTCATTCAGTGGCTAACAGAGCCTAGTGTGGTAAGTGGAGCAAGTATTAAAAGGAAGAACCCAGACTAAGTAAGAATGTCCATAAAGTGTCATGATAAACTGGCAGTAGATTCAGCATTAGAACCTGGAATGTAGATCAGCAGAGTTGGAAGACTATTCTCCAGTATATTAGTATTTAGAACTACTTGAACTCAACACAGGAAATAATCTAAATGGTATGGACATAACCAATATTTTAAAAGTTTAATAACACGGCTATTCAGGGTCAAAACCCAACACTGTTTGTGATCTAGTTTAATTGTGGCATAGTTCAAATTTTAATAACATAGCTATTTTAGTGTCAACACTCCATCTGTCCATGACACATTTTAATTGTGTTCAATGACTTTTCTCATAGTTTCATCCATGATTTTCTTTCCACTTAGAAATGTGATTCTCTGGATCTTAATAAGGGTTGATATCAACAGATATCCATTTGGGGAAATGTTCTAAAGAGTTGTACTATCCCGTGTGCACTCATTTCATGGACATAAACTAAACTCACCACAGTTTCTGGAAGCGTAAGAAGCTGCTCACTGCAGGGGAAGAGTGCAATGTCAAGTTTGATTTTCTGGGGCTCCTCAGTGATCCTGGAATAGTCCTTCACAGAAGAAGTGCCTCTTGGCCTTGTCCATGATTTCAAAATCTCTATGTAGGGCAACTCGTGTTCTTTGTTGGAGTACTCACCCCACCCCCCTCTGCCACCACCACCCCACACCCTCCCGAAGTCCCATGGTTATTTCCCACTGGGCACAGCAGGACTAAGGGAATCCAAGCATCTCTACATAGTAGGCTCTTACAAGGATACAGCAATCATGACTGACCATCACCTCCCAACAAAGGGAGCAGAGGCAAATCAGAGGTGGTTCTGCCTTTCATTCAGCCACTCTGATTCTCAGTTGGCTTTCCCTGATTATCTTCTACCCCCAACCACATAAACTTGCTCTTATTTTCATGGCTGATCTAGCTTTACATGTTTACCTTCCTTTGTAGTGTGCACCTAATGTTTTGTGGAAAACTGGAAGTTAAAACCTCTAAGTTGGGATATATTGCAAAGGTGTATGTGTGATTACAAGGCATTCTGTGCTATACGTTGTATATGCATCTTACTCTTTGTTCTTCCTGTATTTTTTAATCAGCATGAATTTCTAGCTACTAGCAGTTGCTTGGTGGAAACAATGACATTATTACTTGTATTTTTCAGGTGAAGAGACTGAGGTCCTAAATTTGTACTGATCTCACTGCATGCTGTGTCTCGGAGACAGTTGGAGCCCTGATCCAGAGCCCTTGGGTATTGCCTCAAAAGATTGCACTACTTATCGGTGGAAGACTCCTCTTCATTTTCTTTTTAGGTAAGGTCTTTCTTTCTATTAAATCCTAAAAGAAACATTCATCATCTTAACAGCGAATGAATTATGAACTAAAGGCCTATCTGTAAAACTTGGTTTCTTGATTTGTTCCTCCCTGAGCGCACTGGAATAAAATGTCTGTGCTGCACCTTGCAGTTTCCCTCCAGTGTGTATTTGCTCTGATATGCAGCTGTTTTATTTTTTTAACCATTCTTTCTTCGGGCTTGCAGGCAGTGCCATCGATATACGTGTTGTTTTTCAGGGCATGTTTTATATTCACTTAGATTCCTGTCTTTGTGTTCAGACTCTGACTCGAAGCCATCATAATAACTAAAAAATATGAGAATATTCAAAGACCATGAACTTTTGACAAATGATATGTGGTCCTGGGTAGGTATCTGATAACTTTGTCTATGGACTGAATAGAATGAATAAAATGTAAGAGTCCCTTTTGGGTCTGACCCATAATATGACGTTGATCAAAATCAGGCTCCCACAAAGGTAGCAAAGTAAATTTGCCAATTTCATTGAGGTCTTTTTGCTTTGCCAAGACAGCCTCCTGTAGGTGGACTTGAGTGTCTGGAATGAGTGAATGGGATGACCAGATTGAGCCCCAGCTTTGGCTGTATTTATTTGGTCCAAATTCTGATCATAAATCCATTAGTTCAATATTCTGCACTAAGAAAAGCAATTTCCATTTTGAGTTTTCCCCCATTACAGAGGTCCTCGTACAGCCCTCCCCATTCTGACACCACATTGTAAAATTTTGATAGTTGATCCAGAGGGAGTTAGAAAAGAGAATAGATATATCCTATCCCAGTACAGTCTTGGCTCAACTTGATTTTTGCTTTATTGAGCAGTGTGAATCAATACTCAGCCATATTGCAGAGCCCCTAAGAACATCATGATCTGAGAATCACTGACAAGAAGTCATTGAACTTAGCTTCACCAATGCCTGAATTAGGAATTCATGGCTTCTGACACAGAAAGTACACTGAGTAATGCAGGAGTCCGACTTGCAAAATCGCCTCTGAATTGAAGGAACCAAAGCGGGCATTTCTTTTCTTTCCATAGAGTGACAGTGTCAGTGGAACGCTGTCAGTTGAAAGAGGGCATGTGGATGCTGGATTTTGTGCAGCTAGAGAGCTAGTTCGTAGGTCCTGTTTTTTCTTGGCCAGAAACTGAACTGGCTTCAGAAAGGGGATTCAGAAGTCCTTTTAGCTCCTGGTGATTTACTCCGATTTCCCGTTGTAGGCATATGGATTCGATTTTCTACTGTCTCTATAAATACCGTTGTGTCTGTCTCCCTGCCAAACCAGCTACCTTTCTCACCCCAGAGAGAAGCCAGAGATCAGACATTCCTATACTATAGCCCCATTAGACACCATAAGGGGAGCAGATCTGGCCGTCAAAATGATGTGTGTATTTGAATCATGAAAGAGCCAGGCTAAACTTAGAGTCAGTGGGCTCCCATAAATAACCTGTGTCCCTCTCTCTTTGTGTGGTTTGGACTGGAATGCCTTTCTCTTTAGAGTTGTACAAGCAGCCAGAGATCAAAGAGTCAACCGTTTATGGATGCATAGTTCATTACAAAGTCATCGTGCTCAGCAGGAGGACTCTGGCTAAAGCACAAATAATTTTCTCCCATTACTATTTTGTTGCATGGATTGGGGTTGGAGGGCACAAAAAGACCTTGCAATAACTTTAAATAATGTAAAAAAATAAAAAGAGAGAGAGAGAGAAATGAAAATTCACTTTCGAAGGATGGTTAAAACTTAACTGGCATCTTTTTAGGGTATGGTATGTGGTAGGAGGAAAAAGGAAGTAAAGAAATTGACCCATTACCACATGGAATGTGGTTCGAGAAGAATAATAGAAGGCAGAACAGTATCCTGTGTAATTGACTTACCCTTGTGTAAGCATTACGGAGAGCCTTTGATAAGCAGAGCAGAACATATACAAGGATTTTTTTTTAAAGCCCAAACTAGATAATGTACTTGAAAAACAGGCTTTGAACTAGTTTGCTAGAATGTGAAGAATACATGTGTTTTAAATTATAGCATTGGTGGTGTTAACAATCCCAGGACTGTGGATAATCACAATGATACAAAATAATAACTACTATTTATTCAATGTCTACTGTGTGTCACGTGCTGTGCAGTGTATGCCATATCTTTCCATCCTCCCAATCACGCACAGAGAGGCTGTGGTGTCCCCATTTATGCACGGGGAAATGGGACTCCACAACGTCTAAGTGCTTTGCTCAAAGTCATGCAGTCATGGTGAGCCCAAGATTTGAACTGAACTCTGGAATGAAGCAGAAACTTAGCTTGTAGTTAGTGTGTCTGGCTCCTAACCCCTCTCCTGGCCTCTGTCGCAGGAGTTGTGGGAGCTCTTCTGATGGCCAAGCTTGGGAGTTTTGTTCACAAAAGAGCTATCTCAATCCGTGATGGCCACTCTTCTGGCCAGGGTAGATCATCTCCATCCATGATGGCCGCTCTTCCGGCCAGGGTAGATCACCTCCAAGTCCTGCTTTCCCGTGTTCCTATTCCCCTTATCCACACCATCCTATTCTGGCTTCTAGAATTGCCACTGACCATACACAGGCCTTCTGCCAGGAGCGTGATGAAGAAATTGCTTAGAGGAAATACTTTCTCAGGTCTTCCGCCCATTTCAAGGGCAATAAAGGACCCTTGCTGGACTTCTTGTTTAACTTGTATAGAATGTGAAAAATACTTTCTTTGAAAGAAAACTCAAGGCACTGAATGAGTTTGTCCATGTGGGGGCCCTGTCACTGTGCTCTCGTCCATAGGTAGTCTGGGTTGGTCGCTGACACCTCACCCACCCATCAGTAGTAACACTTGATCTGGTGTTTTCTGTATGGATGTTAGGGACTGTGTATCTTGTAAAAGATCTGTCACGTGCCTGACCAGTTACAGTGATAACTGAAGAACATTTCCTCAAATGTATTATTTTAACAGATATCATGTTCTACTTTATGTTACTTTAATTTTAATCAAAGCTGAGTTGTGTGAATCTTAAAAAGAAAAAAAAAAGGCATGGGATATAATGCAAAGAACCCGATGCCTAGAGTCAATAAAATCCCAGTGGCTAAAGTCTCAGTGGCTATGTAATCCCTGAGAGCCTTTGTCCTTGTCACTGATAAAACCTGCATCACAAGGAGGCCATAACATCAAATAAGTAAGATGAATGGAAAACCACAATGCTCTACAAATGCTACCTTTTTTCTGTTCTTCTCAGTGATGCTACCTTTTGTTCAACCCATCTCTTCATGCTGCTTTCAGTAATAGTAGTTTAAAAGAGTCAGAGGGGCGCCTGGGTGGCTAGTAGTTGAGCATCCAACTCTTGATTTCAGCTCAGGTCATGATCTCAGGGTCATGGAATCGAGCCCCGCGTCAGGCTCCATGCTCCAGTTGGAGTCCGCTTAAGAGTCTCTCTCCCTCTCCCTCTGCCCTCCCCCCACCAACTCACTCTCTCTAGATATAAATAAGTCAGAAATAGAAGCAAATAATCAATGAATTCTTTTTTACCAATTTAATTGAAAAGCAACTGAGAGTATCATCCAAAGTCCTATGGCTCTTCCCCGCCTCCACATTTTCTTGAAAGCTTTCACACGTGCAGTGTAAGAAATTGTGAGTCAGCCTTCTCCAATCCTGACTTTAAGAGTTGCAGAAATCAGCTGCCAGGCAGCACATATGTTCTGAGTTCCATGAGAGGAAGAAAACACATTTGCTGAAAAGAAATGGAAACCTTAAAACCAGTTGAGTTGTAATAAAGACACTTTGCATTTTGCTAACTTCTTTTCCCCTCTGGTCCTTGGATGTCTTTCTGGCCCTGGACAAGTTCTCTTGCTCCTGAGGCATCTGTCACCCCAACCACTCCCTCCCTGGGATGTGGGCTCCATCTGGCCATGGCTGATGGGGGAAGGCACAAGAAGTGCAGAATGACCAAAAGAGGGCATTATGATGCAGAAATAATATATCAACTGTGAGTACTTCTTGAATGCAAGGCACTCAAAGGCTGTAAATCCATTCTCTTATTAAGATCTAGTAACAATTAAATGTGGTAATAAACTTTGGTAATAAATTCCAGTCTGCAATTGAGGAGATCACTTTAGAAGTCTAAGTCACTTGGTCAAGGTCACACAGCTAGTGAGCCAGGCAGAGGTTAATAATAAAGCCTCATAGCAGCATTACATATGGGACCTCCAGACACTGGAAAGGCATTTTCTTCTGGGCAGTTGTCTTCAACAAGCATTCCCATGAGCCACAAACATCCAAAGGGGAAGGCTGCTAGCAAGTACTCTGCCTCTATGTTAACATGGTAGAAACCAGATTCAAACAGGTTCTGGGTTTCTCTTGGAGCAAAAGAAATCAACTACAAGGAAAATGAAACTCTACTTAGAGCTCTACTTAAGACACTTTCAACTCATTTCATGATGTTTTGCCCTTCTTCACCTCTCCCTGAGGCAGTTCTGTTCTTAGTAATTGGTATTCGGTTGTTCTTGTGGATTGTCGGTCAGTGTGTTCTTATTCATTAAACTGTGTAAGTAAAAATTGATGTGATGGAAGAACCATGGCAGCCTCAGCCTCAGAACAAAGACTTTTCTAAACCAGCATTTCTCCCATAACATCTGGGCAAATGTTTCATGTGGGTTTTCTTTCCCCAAGTATCCATGACTCTGTGTTCAGAAAGAATTGACAGTGACACTTCATTTGACCAAAAAAAAAAGTAAAGAAAAAGAAAGAAATGTTTCTACACTTAACAAAACCCAAAGGCAACTTGAAAAACACTTTGAAAACTTATTTTCATTTTGCGATCTAAAGCAGACCTCAGGTGTTTTGGCAGACAGGTGGTCCTGGTTGTAGTTCTTCTGAATCCTTGTGAAAAAGATCATGTTGACTTTTGAGAATATTCCAGGATTCATCATCACAACAGACTCTGAAACATGATTTTAAAGTCCCATTGAAATGGGA